CACCAAAAAGAACGGGTATAAAAATAATTATATACGTGGTTAATTTGTTGTTATTTTATCTGATACAACACTAACCTTATTTGTGTTCTATTTAATTTCAACATACTTAAATAATGCGAAATGAAACGGGACTTCCAGCTTTTTATAATGTTAAATGGGACATGAGAGACATATATAAATTCAATTTTCTTTATAAATGGGACCTTTGATACTCAATAAAGAATCATATTATACTATTCAGTGATGCAGCAACACTTAGTTTCTGTTACACTTACACATACAACATTGATAATGATTTTTCTGTTACCATGCTAACATAATATGATTCATTTTTTTTTTTTTAAATCATTAGCATATAAATCAATCAAACAATAGATGTATCGTTAAAAGATGGAAAACCAATATATTTATTATACATACACAAACCTCATAGAAAAGGTTTATACAAACATACGTGTTTAATTGATTCATTATTTTCAAATTAGGGATAAACTTAACAAATAATAGGAGATGATGGGTCAAACATGCAAGGTTGACACATCACTTTGTAGGGAATATTTATATAATTAGTTTATACATGTAGTTATTACCTATTTGAATAATAACAATCTAAGTTGTGATTGAGTTCAAATTTATGATTGATAGGTTGTGTTGACGTGCAAGTTAGTTTACCTATTATATGGTAAGTAAAGGTTTGCATTGTATGTTGGGTTATCGTATAGGCGAATGTATATATGGTAAATATATTAAATTAATTGTTTTACAGTCACAGAGAAAAATCAAAGCAGGAATGTTACATTCACATGCTTGATTTTATTTTGATAGTTAAATTTGATATTCTTAGAACTTTTATACCAATTCAATATTTTTGTGTACATTTATTAATTTACCATTTGAAGGAGTTCATGAACTCTTTTTAACGCAGCGGAATGGGTACTAATAAGTGATTAAACTTTTGCTTGTGGTTTACCAATTCAACAAAAATCAGCCAACCAGAGTGGTAAAAGTAAAGCACACAAGATTTACATGGTTTGACTAAAATCCTTTTAGCCTAAATCATGGAACCTCGTCCAAATGAAGTGAATCCACTATAAAAAAAACACAATTATAAGCAAATCCGGAGTTGAAGTTAAGTAAAACAAAGTAAAACACGCCCTGTTCTATTAGACTCTAACTCACCCTCTAATCCCTTAAGTGTTCTGCTATAGCAAGCTTCTGCCCAAGACATCGGTTGGTCAACTCGAGCTTCAATGGTGGAACTCTCTTTCAGCTCCACAGCTTGACTCTCTTCAAGCTTTCAATCAATGGAACAGCATTCCAAAATCAACCACAAATAAATTGATCATCAATAGAATAACAAACAAAATGAACCTATGCAAGAATATACTCCAAAAGATTAAGAGCAAATGAATATGCAAAAACCAGGTTTAACAACAGACTTAACATATTTTATAAGTTGACAAATAAAACTATACCATTATTATAATATTAATGTGATTGATATTTTTAATTTTAACGTATATATGTGTAAAGTTTTATTTCATGTTTGAATGGAGTAAAATAGTAATGAAATTGAGTTTCCAATAATGTACTATTATATAACTTCCTTTGTGCTTATGGCTATAACTTGAGAGATAAAATAATCACTTAAAAGAAAAAACAATGACGACCACCAAATTTCAGTGCTTTTTTCTTCATCTTAATTATGTTATTCGGTAATATATTCTTTAATACTATGAAAAGTTTTTTTATTTTCATTATTTTTTTAATGAATTATATAGGTATTGTAGTTTTATATGAATTTTTCATTATTTTTAATTATACATCACGCTGCGGCATTATAGCTTCACTAAAAAAAAATCAAAAGATAATAAAATTGATGAATACGGCCAGCACATGCATGCATACATTATCATTTATGGACATGGAAATATCAGAGATGGGTGATGGGACATGCTTTGTCATCATTTTCATATAAATTAAATTTATATACAAATTAGAAAAATTATACTGCATTCAATAAAGAGTTCGAGATTCAAGTGTACTAAAAAAAACCACCACAAATTTAAAAAAACCTTCCAAACCTTTAGTTTATAGTATATTTTATTATTTTATATCACTATTTTTTAATATATCACTAAACCCACTTACAAATTTTGGATGTATTTTTTTTTTGTAGATTATAGTTAGAGGAACTCACAAAAGAAGGGTATAAAAATAAATATATAATTCATTTTTAAACTCATCTTATAAGTAAATCAATCAAACATTATATGATAATAAAAATAATGAAAAAAAAAAACTTAATTCATATATTAAGAAGAATATGTCACGATAACATAGCAAAAACAAGAAAAAACAGCCGTGAAAGTTTGGTGGTCTGTTTTTTCTTAAGCAAAAAAGGAAGTTATATATATATATATTATATAATATATATATATATATATATAATATAATATATATATATATATATATCTAGTAACATTTGTTGGAAACTTCAATTTCATTACCATTTATCCATTCCACAATCAAATAAAACAATATCATGGTATAAAAATGGTAAATTAATAAATAATCCAAGATAGAATTGGTAGTAAATGTTCTAACAATATCAAATTAACTGCCAAATCACGCTGTGAATTTATATGGTACAATATCAGATTTAATAGATTGCAATAGATGTATACATTCTTACTTTAATTGTTTTATGTGACTGTAAAACAATTTACCTAAAATGGTGAATGGTAATAGTATCATATTAATTTACAGTCACAGAGAAACAATTAAATTAAAAATGTATTGCAATGTCATTACCATTTAGGTAAAATAAATCTGATATTGTTACCATATATACATTCACATGCATGATTTTATTTTGAAAGTTAAATTTGATATTGTTAGAACTTTTAATACCAACTTATCTTGATTACATTTATTAATTTACTCTTTTATTATATATTAATGTGATTGATATTTTTAATGTTAACGTATATGTGGTAACGATTTATTTGATTGTTAAATGGAGTAAAATGGTAATGAAATTGAAGTTTCCAGTAATGTTGCTATCTATATTAAACTTTTTTGGCTTACTTGTTATAACTTTGAGAGTAAAATAATTCACTTGAAAAAAAATAATGAGGATCATCAAACTTTCAAAGCTTTTTTTCTTCTTCTTGATTATGTTATCAGGTAATATATTCTTCTTAATACTATGAATTAAGTTTTTTATTTTTCATTATTTTTAATTATACATATAATGTTTGATTTATTTATTGATAAGATGATTTTTAAAAATAAATTATATAAGTATTGTGGTTTTATATGATTTTTTTTCATTATGCATTACTGATCTCCAGCATTATAGCTTTCATCAATGGCTATTCTTGCTTTAAGTGTCTTAAGATGAGGTATTGAGCCTCCTTATTAAACATTTGTCTAAATTCATTCACATGTGATTTTGTGGGTTTGAATATGAACTTTATACAACCGATTTAAGGATATTTATTAAACACAAATCTTCAAATCTTTCAAATAAAAAATTTTATTTTTTACCTGATAACATAATGAAGAAGAAGAAAAAAAAGCACTGAAAGTTTGATGGTCTTCATTGTTTTTTCTTTTAAGTGATTATTTTACTCTCTCAGATGATTATTTATAGCCAGTAAGCAACAATATTCCGAAAATCGGATCGGACTATGACCCATTCAAGAGTCCGGTTTCCGGTTTGACCGGTTGGATCAGTCAGTTGGACCGTATCCTATAAAATTACATGTTAATTCCTAAATGTTTGAAATTCATCAAAAACACCCCTATAATACTCCCTTAAGGTTTGAAATCTGTCTAGAACACCCCTGTCGTGCAAAGAGACTGGTGAGTGGTGGCGGCAGCGACGATCAGCGGCCAATCGAAGTTTGGAATCATGGGGCTTTTGATGTATAGGTTCTGACGAATCTGATAGTGGTGTTAGAGATTTTCATCGGCGCCGGAAATTGCTGGAATCAAGAAGGAAATTCGACGGTCGCGTGAACTTTAAGTGGACGGCGAGTGACGAAGGCTGGACGACGGCCACTGAAAATGGATGGGTTTTGTCGTGGAGATGTTGTCAAGTCGAATGGTGGTATTTTCTCCGTCGAACGATGCCGGAATCTGGTGGGATTGAGTTGCGATTGGACCGCGACTCGGTACTATTCCGACGGTCCAACCGTGACTCAATCCGGTTTAACTGAAAATACCGGTTTTTAGAAGATACCGAACTAGAGATATCGCCGGCTCCTGGTCGAACAATTCCGACCGGACTGTCCAGTCCGATTTTCAGAACACTGGAAGCAACAAAGGAAGTTAATAGATATAGTAACTAACATTTACTGGAAACTTCAATTTCATTACTATTTTTCTCCATTCAGACAATCAATTAAGACGTTCACAATACATACGTACGTTAAAATAAAAAATATCAACCACATTAATATTTTGTTATTCAAATCCGCAAAACACACATCAATGAATAAGACGATGTTTGATTAGGGAGCGGCTTAAATCATATGCACAATAGGTTATGTATTTTACAGTCACAGATAACCAAAGTAAGAATACCCACCGACACCAATGGAAGCTGTGATGCTAGAGATCCAGATAAAGAAAGCAGTAATCATACACCTATTGCAATCTCATGTTGCTCCTTGTGTTGACAACAATGTGATTGAGTGCAAAATGGTAAACGTTTCCCACTGTATAATAAGAAGCACCCAAGACAAATGTGTTTTGACACAGAGATCCTAAAATAAAAAGTATAAAATAGGTCTGGCAACAATTTCTTGAAGATGATTCAAAGATAAACAATTTTGTTTTTGTGGAACTAACCTCTAGAGTTAGCAACCATTGACAAGGGGTTTCCCATACTCCTATGTGCTTAAAATTTTAAAGAGATTTTTCAACTTTAGCGATAATTTCTCAATTCAACCAGAACAGCCCAGATGAATTTAAGGAGTGTAAAAGTGAACTGAATGTTACAAGGAGAAATTATTTAGGCATATAATAGGACGGCAAATACAATTGAAAAGGCACAGTAATTCAACAAAGAAGAAAAAAGAGTGATTTACATAAAAGATGCACAATATGACACTCAAATCACTTTTAAGTAAACACACCAGACTGGTAAATTTCATGTCTCAAACCAATGCTGCTCCTAATCAATGATTCAGTATATAATTGGAGCCACTGAGTTATGATCACAACAAGCAGCAAATTGTGTTCCTCTAACATAAGAGCTTAATCAAAAGGCCATCCAGTGTACCCCATCTGGTGGTTATTCTCATGCATTGCTTGTGAGCTGCTTCCGGCTGTTCCATTATGGTTTGAGCTAGAACTTGATGAGCGAAATGGCCAGAAATTAGAGAATATATTCCGTCTTCCTTGATTCTCCCTTCCACTGGCATTGCCACCAAAACTGCTGCTTCGACTTGGACCAATTGAGCTATGATGACTACTACGACTGCTACTCGATCCTTGTGCTGGTAATTCCTGGCGGCAAACAGGGCATGAATTGTGCTGCACTAACCATGGAACAATACAATCTGAATGGTATATATGGTTACATGGCATTTGTCTCGCTTCTGAACCAAGCTCAAATTTGTCTTTGCAGACAGGACAGTGTGAATCAGAACGAAGATGCCTCTGTGTGATCTTAACAGTCGGCATAGCATTGATTGAAGATTGGGCTGCAGGAGGAGGGCCCCGTCGATCGTTAGCTGAAAGTTGCTCAAAAAGTTCTTCTAGTCCAGGACCTATAAAATAATCGCCAGCATTACCCCGTGCAAAACCAATGCCCGGAGCCCCACCAAAAAGTGCTTCAAACCCACCATTTCCAGACAATCTAAAAGGAATTTGGCCACCAAATATCAACAAAGGTCCAAAGCCCTGGCCATGTTCATTAATTGAATCAGATCTACCCCTGATATCATGGTTATGTCTATCAGCCATTCGCTGCCTCATGAAGGCTGAGAAAGCTTCCATAAGACCAAACCTCTGGTCACGTTCTTCATCACTGTCCAACCCAAAGAAATCCAATGGGCTGATGTGCACCATATCGTCAAGCTCTTGAACAAAGCCTCCACTACAGTACAGGCAACATGGATCTCGCCCTTGAAGACGAACTGGCCTCCTGCAGCTGTAACACCAGTGGGTGTTTCTGCCACTTGACATTCTCTCCTCTCTTTCTCCCTTTGTAAACTCTCAGAAGTCTGAAACAAAAACTTGTCCCCAAAACTTCCTCGCTGTTCAACTATTTTCTCAGCATACTGGCTAAAAATCCACAAATTAATATCAGAACAAACTATTTGTTATCATAAAAGCCTCTCCGTTAGAAAGAGTTCCACAAAACAAAAATTTACAAACGCATATGAAGCTACAATAACATTTCCTAGATTTTATGTTAATAGATACATCGTGCCATTCAAATATCAATTGATATATGGTCCAATTTATAAAAGCAAAGGCAATCTAATAAGCCCATGCAAGTCTACCAGAAAATTTAAGGTCCATCTCCAAAAATATTTCCAGTTTAAACGAGGTGAAATTTCCAGAGAAATTCCATGCTTAAAATAGATTTCATAATACAATTTTCCAAAACATCTGCAAGATAGATCTTTGCTAATCAATATTCAATATTTCTTCCCTTCAAGAAAGACAGAACAATAACTACATATGCTAGAAGACAAGCTTTGAACCATAACAAACAAATACAACAAATTAACAATAAAAACCTAGGAAATAGTTACAGATACCAATAGTAAAAAATTTGAAAACGTAGAAACAAGGTGAAAGTGCAGAAGTATTAATAAAAAGGGCAACAACAGATACACATATGTCTACCGATAAGGAAGAAGCAAGATAAGGAAGAAGCAAGACTGCCTTACTTAAAAACTTCCAGCAATCCCTCCTAAATCTTCCAACCTCAGCACTCAACCCAATCAGGAAAAAATAAAAAAAGAACACGAAAAGGCTCAGAAGTAGAAGATCTTGTAAGGCCGAGCAACATATAAACGAGTTTAAGAACATTATTTCATACCAGCTTAAGCTTTGAACCAGTTGATTAACAGGTGAAAACTCTGGGTTTGACCAAAGTATTATGCATTAGTAATAGTAAACTCTACCAATTAATATAAAAATTTCATTGTCACCTCTTTCACTTGCCCTATACAAATTTTATCAATGCCTCTCGCTCTCTCTCTCTTGTACATTTTTGAAGGGGAGTTCTCCTGCAGCACAGGATCATTCTCAAACCAATTTTTAGATAACAGCTGTTCTTTACAATTATCTTTCATGCCATTAAGTGAGGAATACAACCTTCAGAATCAGGTTTACATGGAAAAACTTATAAGAACTAATATTACTCCATTCCAATTGATTTTTCAAAAACAAATCTAAAATGAAAATTTGAATAAGTTAGGAATAATATGCATGTCTCTGTATAATTTGCCCCACTTCTACCTGCTTATTTCACCTTCCATTCCAATATATCTCTGTTTCCAATTATCACTCAACACAAATTATGAAAACCGTTTCCTCTATAATTTAGTATGCACCTAAGTTTATCTGCCTATGCATTCAAACTGCACATGCCATAGCTAATATATTTAATACTCAATTAACTGAAAAGTTGACACAATTTTTAATTTTTTTTTTTTTTTTTTTAACAGCTCCTCTCTAGATTCAAGTAAAGCAACTATTGAGGAATTCAAAGAGAGAAGAAGTTTCATCTTTGACTGTTATTATTTTTGGTAAGGGACTAAGGCCATTAGTTACATCTTAAACAATTCAAGTTCTAGATTAGAAGTCCAGGCCATCAATAAAAATGGAAGCCAAAATAAAATGGGAAAGTTGTTGTGATGCCTCATTTTAAGATTTCTCCATTGTAATCCTATTATCAAACCAAAACAACAAGGAACTTCAATGTTAAAAATTTTTCAGGATCCAAAGCCTAACAACAAAACATCAGTTGTGACAACAGCTCAATTTTCTTTGGCATCCCATTCCAGGATGATAAAACTCTATTTCTAAAGGATAAGTCATTCAATGTCAGTGGCTGTCCAAATATGATATTAAGTAAGAAGTAAAACTATAACATCTTGAGATCAACTCTAAGTTAAGAGAAGCTAATACAAAACCAATACCAAACAAACAAACAAAAATACTAGAATTTCTTTTATTTCACGGAACACTATACTTTAAGCAAATACCATTTCTTTTTTTTAAAAGTACACTAATAAATATATATTCGGATTGATCAGTCACTACAACCATATGAGCAGACCAGACTCCATCCAGCATTATAAATACCAGGAAAAAAAAAAAAATCAGACGTTGACTCACCAATTGACTTCAACAAAACAACAATATAAAGAAATAACAAACGAAAAATAACTCCGATTCTCATATCTTTTGGCTCAAAGTTTCCAGAACTAAAATCATCCACTCAAGACTAAGTCAATTTCATTATATTACAAACCAAATTTACCAAAATAACCAAAAAAAAAATTGTTTCTCGCAGCTTCTAAGCAATCAAAACAACAAAATGAATGATCCATAACTAAAGCAAGTGAAATTCCAGAAAATGTAAAAATAAAAACCAGTAAAACCGAGATTATCAAGAACGATGAACAATAATAACAGTGATTATAAAAATGAAAGTTAACAAATCGAACGTACCTCAAGAAGATCGAGAGGAATTTACAACAATTATGAAAGCTAAAGGGGGAGAGAGAAACCCTAAATGTAAAATTTGAGATTATTTTTTAAATTTATTTATTATAAATTTTTTTAGCTTTTAATATTTTTGTTTCCAGATAAGACTTTGCTTCATTTCTAGAGAGTTATTGATGGCACTCGATAGTCGATTCTATTATATACGTGGTGCGCATTACGCCCCCTTGTATTACACGTCCTTTACTCAAACAAGAATATTCACAGAAACGTGAAAACCGCACCCTGAAAAATGATTTTGTATTTCTGAAATTAAAAAATAAGATAAATATGTTATTTTCCAAAAAAATTATTAAGTTATTATTTTTAATTTCAGTAATTAGTTTTTTGTTTTTAATTTATTTCAAGTGCTCCTGGTTTATAATATTTATTTAATTATAATCTAATATATTTAGGCCCAGTTTCAAGGGAGGGAAACAGAACTTATCTAATTAAAATTTTCCTATTTGTAGATTTTTTATTGCATTTATAGTAGAGATGGTGTTTGTAAAATAAAAGATGAGAAAATTTAAAAAAAGAAAAAAGAAAAAAGGTTTAATTTTGTATTCTACATCCTTATATATACACAAATCATAGTGGTGACAGAGGGTATAACTTATATAAATATTTCCCTTTTATAAGATAATATATTCTAATTTTGCCAACACAACAGTGGGGCCACCAAGACACAGTCGTAGGTGTGGTGTGTGGATTGAAGTAAGTGACAAAGAAATTTTGATAATGGACCCATACTCTTTTTCAGGTGGGCCTTGTTATCTTTCGCCTTTTACAACAAAACAATAATGCTAAAGTAACCCTTTAATTATTAATTTCAATTATTATAAATAAATTTTTTTTTTTTTTTTTTTTTTTTTGTAACTGGAGTGTCAGAACCAACTTACGCACAACCTCGAATAATTCTCATGATCAATTAAACATTTACAAACAGTCTAAAAGACTAGATAAACTTATAATGTTATTATAGTAGATGACCCTAAGATTTGAATCAAAAAATTCAAAGAGAAACAAAACTCTTTAACCACCAGACCAACTACTAAGGCACTAATGTCTGCCGCTTCAAAAATTCTTCAATTTTTTGAATAAAACTTGAAGGACGCCAATTTCTTCTTTTCAGAACCTCTCAATTGAATTCTACATTTTATAACAAGGAAAACAGATGCAAATCAAGGCGAAATGTTTGATTTCCTCGCTACAATAATCAACTTCATGGCACCAACCATAAAAATTTGCCCAATATTCTGTTAACATATCACTATTCACATTAGTTGAGTTCTACACTTTTTCCACTAGAAAAAAATTTATAGTCCTTTACAGAATTCCCAAACTAATCTATGAACTACAGCTATAAATATGCAAATATTAGTTCTTTTTCTAAATTATAGACTAGTAAATTTTGAGTGAAACTCAAATATACTTTTCCTTCATGTTTTCTTCTCTTCTTACAACGCTATCTCCATAGAACATGTCATTGCCAAGCCAAATATTTCTGATTCTGCCCTATCTTATAAGCAAACATGCTGATGGTAAAGGTCAAACATTTGTCAAATTCGACACGTTCCACCATTTGATGAAGCCAAGATGCTGAAAAGCATCAGCCACCCAACAAATACATACAAAAACCCTCCCTCAAAAGTTCGTCCATTTGAGTATCCGAATTAATATCCATTGTTGATTGTCACCATTAATGCTCAGGCGACAAGCTTGTCTATTGTTTATCAACATTCAGTGCAGGTATAAGGGTTAAATCCTTTGCTTGACCATAGACAAAATCGAGACAGCATATAGCACAAGGCTCCAATGGACTGAAGACTGTAGAACCAAATATGAGAGTTTACCCAATCAAAATCTCAGTCAGCATCACCAAGTCCATCACTCCCGTCCCCTTTCTTGGAAATAGGTGAAAAATTAGAGCCACCTTTCTTGGACAGTGTAGCAATTTCAGCATTCTTCCTCAAGACAGCTCCTGGTGATGGGTAGGGACGCTGTTGAAATAGAGGACCCTGAAATACACAAATAATTCGGTTGAAACGTGAGAACTGGACCAAATCAGACTGCAAACCTGATTAATGTTAAACAAAAAGACGGCAGGCATGAGTCAATGCATTTCAGCAAGCATGCATGCAGAGTGGAGAGTGAGAGATGCAGATACAGAATAACTGTGACATGCTGATAGGAAATTACCCCAATATTTTGAATAATAGATAATCTATTACTATACTAGAATGGACATTATTCTCATGGCTACTAATTATTTGGCGAAATCATCTCATCAAAATGCAATCTGTACCAGTTGTATATTCCACCTAAGTAGATGGACTCCCTTGTTATAATTTTTTTTTATTTTCAAGCTGTCTTGCAATAGAAAGACAGTGGATCAAATTATATCAGCTAGAGGCTGGCCAGGGATCGTGGTCTAGAAAATTAAGGGCAAAATGTTAGAGCATGATTAAATAAGAACACTGCTGACAATGTTGAGAATGACACCCAAAAAAAAAAAATTGAACAAGAGTTGGACTGAGAAAAAGTCATATTCAACTGCCTCTAAGAAACCAACGATTCTAGTTGATCTCTTGAATTAAAACGTAAGAAGATACTAGATTACACAGATACTTGTAAACATTTGAATGATCCCTTGTCTCACCAAGAATAGTAAACTAACAATGGGATGTTTCTAGCAAACCAGAAGGTATTGATGCAGAATCCTTATGAAACCCTTGGATAGAACAATGTAATACTCATTTAATAATCGATCCTATCATGTAATGATAGCTTCTCATATTGCAGAACACCCCCAACTAAAAACATAAGGAAGAACTTGGACTGCAGGGAAATAATTGTTACACTCTTATGGTACAAGCTTAATAGAGCAAGAACTTAATATTGTATGTCCCCAGAGGATCCATCTATAGCATGATAAACAAATGCATTTACTGACTCTGCAAGACAAATATTCAAAACGAGGACCATTATAATTCTTCAAGTTGATCTAGATATAAGTTTAGGGACCTCTAAATTATCTAGAAAGGATTGTCATGTATGAGAATCATGAAAAATCAAAATGACATTGAAAAGCTCAAGTCTGATCAAAACACAAGCTTTAGCAGCGACCAACGTCACTTTTCTGAACATCAATTATTTAGGTCTTCAAATTCTTCTTCTTCCCTTTTCTTTCTTTTTTTTGGCTATTTGAAGATTATTTAATTTAGCAAGAACTTCCCTTCAAAATGCTGGATTTCTCCTCATCTCATTTCTCCCAATTCATAGAGACTTATTTTCCAAATCAATGCTATCTTAGTAATAGTATTCCGCCATTTCTTCTTTCAAGAACTTCTATTTTTCTTGATTATTGTTTCTTTTTGTTTCTGCCACACCAAATCATTACTCTTACTAGTTCTTCCCCCAGTTCAAGTCTTTAACCTCCACACAAAACCTAATTTAACTTTTCAGTTAAAGACCCCAAATAAATTGTAGTGGAACTAGCAACACCTTTGGTAGGAACTACGGTGTTAATAAAAGATAATCTAGTGTATCTTTTTGAATAAGTAATAATCCACCATAACTTTATAGACCCTACTAAATCAAAAAGCCCTGGAAGTAGCATAATAGCGAAGGTGTCTGGCCCCATAAGCAAAATGAATTTCACATAAAGGGATAACTAAATTGTGTCAAGCTTGAGACATCCACTGCAGAATTCTAAATGTGGAGAACAGCTGCTTTTAATCTGGTTTCACTGACAATTTGTACACATGAGGATAAGCATTCACTTCTAGCAGAGGAAACTAGCTCTGCACCTGAAATGCCTACTACTTGGGAAATTCAACTCCATCGAAAGCAATATCAAATATCTCTAGTAAGAAGGAAAAGAGATGAAAAATAAAAATAATCAAAAAAAGTGATAAATATACCGTGGCAGTGGTATCAGCTGCTCGGGGCTGCACTCCTTTCAGGCCTACAACCCTGCAGAATTATACAGGACTAAATTAGAATAGATTATTCAAGCACATACCAGACCAGAACACCTTAAATCAAACAAGATTGACATACCAGCCACCACGGGGTGCATCTGAGTAAGAGCTTGGGTCCATGGGATCTAGTTCATCATCCTCATCATATGCACGTTTCCTACTATCTCTCCTATTACCTTTTCCCATAGGAGGTTTCCAATTGGACCTGAAAAATCTTAGTCAGATCTTTTTTACCATGTAATACACACCAGATAGACACACACTGTTCCCTGCTAGAGTAAAAGAAATTTATAAATTAAAAATAGATAAGACTTCACCGAGTTTCAACTTTTATATGCACAGAGGAAATATGCAAATTAGATGCTGCTCCAAGCATTTGCCACACTTTTCTACCATTTTTTAATGCTAAGAGGGTTGAGAACTAAATAATTTGTGTGAAATCATCAATGGTGAACAATTCTACATGAGAAGAGAATGTGCAACTAGAGGCTATTACTTGCCCTCCAGCGAAGATGGACCAAGAACAGTGTCCTCTACCTCTTCATCAAACAGGTGTAGAAATATCTGTTATGTTCTTACCATATTCTTTTTCAAAATATTTATACATTTCAAATAATGAACCCTTTACAGTATTAATAATGAGAGTAAAAGAGTACTTAAAGTTTTAGAAATTTGAACCTAATAAAGTTTCCACACCAACTTAGGATCCATTTTCGCAAACAAAGGAGATATTATTTTATTTAAAACATAGAACAGTACTCATAGTGACAAACAGAAACTTCAAATAACATGAGTACTCAACGATATCACACAACATAAGTACTTGACAAAAACACAGTGAAAATACTCGCACACGTATAAAAGTACCCGATATGATATAAATTAGTATCTAGGAATAAGCACACTTACATAACCAAGGAGACTAGAATAACATTTTAGTCTTATAGCGTATTTTTCCAAGACATATTTTTAAGTGTCTATGTAAGAGACCAATACCCTGACTTGATTTGTGATAATGTATCTTTTTACATAAATTACATTTAATAGCTTGACCATTTTCAAGTCTCTTTGGTCGTATAGTAGTTGAATATTGGAGCTCCATGCCTTATGGTCGGATTAGGTTATGGGACTGGTTGAGGTGGTGTGCTTTCTATTAATTAATAAATCTTGAAATGAATATAAACTAGTATATAAACATTTATTTTAGAGTGAATGAAGTAAGTGTTTGAAAGTTCAAAGCTATTTATAGAACAAATATTCAAAGTGTTTGAATTCTTAGCTACCACATTCAATGCTTTTGTCCAAAATTACAAAATTAATCAAATTCTAATTGAATTCGTAACTACCACATTTAACACTTTTGTTCAAATTCTACCCAAATATATAAAGTTATATACTCATGCAGTGTTATTGAATCATAGTGACAATAGCAATTACAACTATGAACTATCAATCCAACATAAATGCTAATACCTTTGGTTGCTCATGAATATCACATTAAGGTCACTAAAATCAAGACAGAGACAGGACATTCAATTCATCAACTTCCAAAATTAGTAGTTTGTATAGCATATTGGTAATCATAATTGCTACTATCAGTATGACTCAATAACTCAGTGTGATAATTCAATTAGTTTTGCATTATCAAGTAGAAATTAGAAAAAAACATTGAATGAGATAGTTAAGAATTCAATTAACTTAGTATTTTCGAGTAGAAATTGGAAGACATCAGTGAATGTGATGTTTAAAAATTGAATTAGTTAATCAAACCTTTGTTTATAAATAGAGCCCCAAACACTTGTTTCATTCACTTTACTTTAACCCAAAAAAAAAAAAAAAAAAAAAATTGTATTTTATACCAATTCATATCCCCTTCAAAATTTGTTATTTAATGGAGAACAAAACCCATTACAAGAGCAGCAGCCTCATCTAAACCAATAGCCTGATCTTGTCACTGGGCTCAGACTTCCAATACTTCACTACTTTACCACCACAGAGACTCTTAAAAATGTTTCAAGCACAATGGAGTGTAATTTGTATAAAAGGGCGACTCATCACAAATCTAGTCACGGCTAGTATCTTGTATAGGCACATAAAAACATGTCTTGAAGAAGAAATAAGAATAGAATCTTCTTCAAACCACCTTCTACTGTGCCATTGTTACATATGAGTGTATCCCTATACGTATCTGTTGTGGGGAAAAGAGCCAAGCAACATGGCTCCCCCTTTCTTTCTTGCCCACCAAAAAATTATTTGGGCAAGCAAGGCATGACCAATCTTGCTCGCCCAATAAACATATTTGGCGAACAAGGCCGAATCTCTATACGCAAGAGCTAATGGCCCCTACTCGCCACCATTCACCCGCTTAGGAGAGCAAAGGGTGGCCAAAGGCCACATCTTACACACCCACTTTGCACTCATTTTGGGCGACCCAGAGGTAAATTCTTGGCCACCTCTTGCACACCCACACTTAGTTCCTCTGGGTGAGCAAGAAATGGCCAAGAGGCCACCTTTTGCTCACCCATATCTTGCTACTCTAGGAGAGCAAGAAATGGCCAAGAGACCACTTCCTGCTCTCCCACACCTTGGTATCTCAGGAGAGCACGAAATGGCCAAGAGGCCACCTCCTGCTCCCCTATCACTTTGTCACATAGGGCTAACAAGAGCAAGTCATTGCCTTGCTCCTTGTTAGCCCATCTCTTGTTACCTAGGGCTAACAGGAGCAAAGCATTGGCTTGCTCCTCGTTAGCCCATCTCTTATTATATAGGGCTAACAAGAGCAATCCATTGGCTTGCTCCCTATTAGCCCATCCCTTGTTACCTAAGGCTAACAAGAGCAAGTCAATGGCTTACTCCCTGTTAGCCTATCTCTTGTCACATAGGGCTAACAAGAGCAAGCCATTGCCTTGCTCCCCGTTCACCCATATCTTGTTGCATGTTAGCCATTTGCTTGCCCTGTTAGCCCATCCCTTTAGATGGTACACGCATCACCCTTAGAAGAAGCATGTATCACCTTGCAAAAAGTAGAATAAAGGACTATGGTACAATGACAAATGGCAAACTCATATATTGTGGTCCTGCCTTAACACACCAAGAGGATACACGTGCTGCAATCTTGGTGGTTTGATCTAAAGGGCATTGGCAAACCCTAACACTATATAAAGAATAATATGTCTCCATCTTTGGTAAGTTAACATAAGTTGATTCAAGTTATTCAAGCCAATTTTTCTCTTAGAAAGGCTTTGAAAATCATCTTCTTCTTCCTCAAAACAACTTATTTCTATTATGTTTCACTTGAGAGCAACCTATTAAATATTCCACTGACTTGAGTGTCAGAGTGCCCACGACGACCACCACCCCCCTAGCTTGGGCCTCTGACCTCGTTTAGTGTTTCTTTGCAGAGGTTTCGGCAACTCCAGAGGAGACCACCAGCCAACTAGCCATCCAACAACCAGAAACCGCCATTAATCCATCTATTTTCACGCAACCCCAAACCATTTCACTTGTTAATGCTTAGACATTTTTAGGTGTTAACAGTATCTAAGTGAATTCATAGTGTTTTTGTCAAGCACTCGAGTTATATAAGTTATCAAGTACTCAAGTTACATAAGTTGTCAAGAACTCATACTATTTGAAGGTATCAATTTTTCATTGTGTATCATGTTGTATTTAAATAAAAAATTGAATTTTATATACATTTTAAACAATAAACTCTTTATATTATCAGCAGTATCATGTTATATTTTAGATAGACCCCAAGTACTCTTGCTGATTTGATTGATGCTTAAATCCACAGAAAATCCAGTTCTTAATCATTAAACTGGACAAGCAAGAGGTACATGCACTAGCTAGTATCTTCACTTTCTTGACAACATCTAATGGAAGCTTTTATTCCTTGGTAATCCTTTGTCGTTCCACAGGTTATCATGTTTTGTTTGTTTATATCTCTTGTTATTCATCCATCTATTCTCAGGGAAAGTTTTATGCAGAGGGGTTTTGAAGTTTAAGGAAGCTTTTATTCATGAGATCATGCACAAAAGTGGAACTTGATGACATGATCGTATTACTTATCCTTGACAAATTGATAAGAATGAAAAAGCTGGNATCCATCTATTTTCACGCAACCCCAAACCATTTCACTTGTTAATGCTTAGACATTTTTAGGCGTTAACAGTATCTAAGTGAATTCATAGTGTTTTTGCCAAGTACTCGAGTTATATAAGTTATCAAGTACTCAAGTTATATAAGTTGTCAAGAACTCATATTATTTGAAGTTATCAATTTTTCATTGTGTATCATGTTATATTTAAATAAAAAATTGAATTTTATATACATTTTAAACAGTAAACTCTTTATATTATCAACAGTATCATTTTATATTTTAGATAGACCCCAAGTACTCTTGCTGATTTGATTGATGCTTAAATCCACAGAAAATCCAGTTCTTAATCATTAAACTGGACAAGCAAGAGGTATGTGCACTAGCTAATATCTTCACTTTCTTGACAACATCTAATGGAAGCTTTTATTCCTTGGTAATCCTTTGTCATTCCACAGGTTATCATGTTTTGTTTGTTTATATCTCTTGTTATTCATCCATCTATTCTCAGGGAAAGTTTTATGCAGAGGGGTTTTGAAGTTTAAGGAAGCTTTTATTCATGAGATCATGCACAAAAGTGGAACTTGATGACATGATCATATTACTTATCCTTGACAAATTGATAAGAATGAAAAAGCTGGCTATACAAGATTCTGTTGGACAAAACATTTTCGTCCCTAGAGCTCTACCATATTATACTCTTTTTAAGGAATGACAATGGAGGGTGAATCAAGTTTTATGGTTCATGACAACTATATTCTACAATCTATTTGTTCAATAGCAAGCTCAAATACTTTTAACAGAATCTAACATTCAAGTAAAGATTGAATACCTCTGCTTGGGAACCTTTTTGCCAGATTCTTCTTTGGCATTTAAGGTGCTGTTCTGCTGCTGGTTATTCAACCTGCCTGGCAGATATTGGGATTGTGGAAGCTTGAGAACTCTGCATGAGATACAGTTTTCAAGAAATTCAGTTTCTTAGTGATTTTCTGGGAAAGAAAAAATCACATACAAATACTTGCGTAACCCACATCAAGAGGATACATTTTTCACAAAAGTTATAAGAAGTTAAGATGCAAACTGACCAATGTGTATGTGATATTTAAAGAAAGTAAAAACAGGGCCATACCCCAAAAAGAAATTAAGAAAGATAAACTGAAAAACCAAAATGAAGTGAAAACATTACAGGAAGTATCTCGCACCGAAATCTACATATACCAACTCCACAATTCCCTAGCCAAAAAGAGCAACTTGTTTACAAAAGTCTGATGCAGAAACAAGAGATATCTACAAAACTTTGAAAGCCAATAAAAGACTTCTCAACTAATACCCCACATGAACAGTAAACACTTGGGTCATTGTCAATAGGTATCTCATTGGTGTTATTTGGGTTCTGTTTTGGCTTTCATATTGATTATTACAAAGTCTATCTCCAATTGCCAATTCTAAAGTTTCCTTTTGGTTTTAATACTATGCCTAAATAAGCAATCTTTGTGTGACCGTTAAATAACTATTTGCTCTAAGAGACCATGAACTTTGTATAATATAAAAAAGGCAAGGAGGTACAGTTCTTGACCAATTGCACATCAAGAATCGTCAAAAGGTGTGACCAATAAACATGTTCATTGATTTCTTTTTGGGTCTCTATTATATTCTTCTAGCAAGGACTAGAAGAAGTCATAGGTAAAACTCTTTGGCTTCCACCTCTTCTCTTTCCTTTTGTTCATTTCTATTTTATTCCCTCAATCAACTAATACCCAGAACCTCCGAATCCCCTGTTACAGCCAAAGGAGCTACTATAAATTGCCTTATTTTTCTTGTATTAAACTCCAGAGCACATCTCTATCACACCCTTATACATATAAACCAACAGATAATTGCTAACCCCAGCAACCAATTACAAAATTTAAGGATGGGGGGAAGCCATTAACACTCCTGAACCCTTTTCAGAAATGCTAACAAGATATTCACCTTAATTATAAAGCAGATTTAGTCTTAAACCTCAATCAAATTAATTCTTATTTCATCCTCCCCAACCAAGAACCCCAAAATTAAGGGGCTTGGACACCGTCTCAATGACAGCCCTTATACCTACTCTTAAGTAGGGATGTTCATAAACGGTTAACCAAACCAGTTAACCAATTTTCTGAACCGAACCGGTTTTAGGTTCAGGAATTTTCCTAAACCGAACCGGTTAAGGGGAAAATCAATTTTCCGGTTAACCGGGTAGTAAAAACCGGTTAACAGGTTTTGAACCGGTTTTCCCTTTAACTTATTTTTTATTTTGATTTTTCCCTAATTTAAACCGGTTTTATATTTTATTATTTTTATAATAAACCGATTTTATTGTTTTTATTTTATAATTTATTATTTTTATAATAAACTGGTTTCTATATTTTGATTTTTATTGTTTTTATTTTATATTTTATTATTTTTATAATAACTTGGTTTTGGTTAACCCGTTCCTATAATCCCGTAAACCAGTAACCGAACCGGAAAACTGATTTTTGTATTTCTTCGAACGAAACTGAATCGGTTTTCCGGATAAGCGGAAAATTGATTCGGTTGGTTTTTTGCATTTTTTTTAACACCCCTACTCTTAAGGTTTCTTCTAGATCATTTCTTTAAGCATGGTACAAATTGGGTCTCTTGCACAACTATGGATTTTGAGGGTGTAATCATAATCTTTGTTTTTTTCTCCTTTCCTATATTTTTTGTGATTGGTTCTCCAAATTTGTGGATAACAATTCAAGCAAAATAACGGTAGCATTTACTACTTCAACAGAGATGGGCCCTTGTACCACCTTTCTTGTTTTTCGGCTTGCTTAGAAGGGCATTCATCTACGGGAAGCAGAAGTCTGGTGTATAATGCAATAGTGCATTTGTGGCAATTGTCTGGGTTTGAGGTTGGAAAGAAATAGAGTTTCTGAAGCTTTCATAGGGAGGAGGTTTCTAGATTGTCAGACTAAGTGAAGCTTTGTACCTCTTTATGAGTAATATCAAAGTTTTAGGAAGTCTCATTTTTATTCATCATGTCTAGGAAATTTCAATTGCCTAATCAGGGACTGATCCTTTTTGTTGAGTTCTGGTACAGGGCCTTTGCTCTTTATAAATGGAGATCTGAATTATACATTTTGTATATCTTTTAGAACCTTATTTTGGGCATTTAGGAAAATTGATCCTTTTTTACAGGACACCTTGTCCCTCTTTTCATAACATATTTTTGCTTAATTATAAAATTTCTTTGTTTCCTAGCAAAAAGAAAACTAGGCATCATGGATCTAATAATGAACCAAGAATTAGATCAAAACATAAGAAGAATACTGGATTGTGGAGGTATTTATAAATTTCTTCCAATAGCCCTAATAAGGCAGGCTTGCCAAAAGCAATAAATTTAGGAATATGATGGATACCCACACCAAAAGTCTTACTCCAACAAACACAGCAATAACACAGTCAAATACCAACACACAACAGTGGCTAAATCACTGCAAAATCAGTCAACAGATCAAGAAAACAAAAATAAAAAATGGAAGGAACAGATCAGGTAAACTGAATAGAAACTTTCATGGAGTATTCAAGAACAAGCTGAACTTCGAGGGTTAGCACCTCCCATAAACAATTCCCACAAATTCAATGATATCCTACCCCTCTCTCATGTCCCTCTTTTATTCCTCATGATACTAGATTCTAACTAACTACTCACACCCTTCATGCCTAATGCCACCTGTCAGCCACACCCTTTACCCTTTTGCCCTTTGCTTATACCGTTTTTTTACTCTGGGTCCATCAGACTATTAATTAGCTGTACTTAAATCAATTAAAAATGAGACAAGTATTTGATATCTCAAGTTAGACTCAACTAAATAACCAAAACACCCAAAAAAGCAAAACTAAACTAGCCTATAAATCACTTCTAAGCCAAAATTCTAGCTCTAAAACTGGATTTTAACACTAGAATGATAGAACTGAATTCAAAATCATGAAAGCTTTGATCCACTGAATCCTGTCTGAGAATCCAACAAAAAACTAAAACTTAGAATTAAATTGAAACTAGAAACAAAATCCTTATCCACACCCACAACAAATTATATGCAGGAATTACTCAAAAATGGCAGACAGGCAAGATTCTATTCAGACATACTTCCAAACACCTCATCCATGCACAACAACGTATTGTATTCACTATTCAGTATGTAAATTCTTGAAAAAAAATGGCATCATCCTACCGTGTGCAATGATTGCAGTAACCCCACATCTGAACAAGGCCTACTCCCCAACCACCACAGTGCATGCATTTCTCTAGCTCAGGTGATTGGTTATCCCATATCCCATTAGCTGCATTTCTGGACACGGCGTTGTCAGTGTGTTGAGACGTAACTGGTTGTGATGAACCAGGGTGCTCCCATTGTGATACATGGGTCTTCGTATTGTAGTAATACTTCTGACCTGTTTAATTAAAGCAAAAAGTTTAAGACATGGAAGGAAAGTATTAAATGCCATTATCTGGTTGCATTTCCCATCTTCTGAAATCAGACTATTGCATTAACTTGCAATTACAAGATAGAGGATTATATAGTGGTGCCTTTGATGAGTATTGAAACTGCATAACATGAAGCCATCGAACAACTTGAGATAGAAAAAAAACAGGCGGATAATATCAGGTACTAAGTCCATAAAACATGGGAGTTCCTTCAATACTTTGGTGAAAAAAAGTTTCAAGCTCCCTACGGAGATAATCCAGATAATAACATAAAAATATCAGTATTTTTCAACAAAAAGAAGTAAGAAATCCATACTTTAATAGTGCACTAACACTGGAATGATACGTTTACATGAATAAACTGTAAATCATTTTTCTTTATTCATCTTTTATTGATTTGCAGGATTCAAGAAAAATAAAATTATGGAAATACGCTGTATATGAGGCATACCACTTGTTTCATCAACTGCCTCCACCCAATCACCCAGAACCGGTACAACTAATTGACTTTGTTAAACAGAAACTGTTTCACCAGGTCTTTCCCATTGACTCTTCCCTGTACTCTCATTGTAATAATATGAAGCACCACTGTTAGGGTCTTTTGCCTCCACCTAAATGAGACATTAGAAGTTAATAGCTGCTTGAAAGAACAGAAGAAACTTTGAGAGGATTACAACTAGACAGCTTTTAGATCTAAATTACAAAGCTAAAGGAAAGTTGCTCTGAAAACCAATGAATGTTCATGTTAAATTTATTCTCTGCAACATAACAACACATTCTTTATCTGTAGTTCTGTACTAATCATTTATGATTACATAGAGAGGATTACATAAATGATTACATAGAGAGGATGGGCATATAGAATCTTTCAACTTTTGAGCAGGCTATTGGTTCCCTAGAATCCAATATGGGCCCAATCTTGATACACATTCTATACAAGAAATGCACCAAAAAGGGAAGTTCAGGGGGAAAAGGAATAATATAAAGTAAAACCAAAAAGAAAAATTTTAAATATGAAAAGTAGAAAAATCAAGGACTTAAGACTCAAGCACCAACAGATTCAAAGAGGAATGTTAGCTGGAAAAAGGGCAAATCAATCACCAAGTGCTGTTCTCGAAATATCATCATATTCGTCTAAGGTGGGGCACCACTTGCCACTCCATTTGCATTTCCCCTAGGTTCCACACTATTGAGTTTCATTAATGCTTAAAAAGAAGTGATAAAATACCAATGAGCCAGCCAGAGATACATTTCCTTTACCATGACCTAAGGGACCAAGAATGCATTTCTCCAACGATATTTTATGTAAATTATCAAGAACTAAAGATATTTTATATGAATGTTCAACAAATATTTGTGACCTCACCAGAATACAAGTACATTTAGCCCTGATTCCTCATATTACAACTCAAAGTTCCTAAATCACATTCCAAAATGAAAACTATGAAGGATATATAAAAATAAACAAATTTGAACAAATCACTAGGCACAAGCAATCGCCACATGCACTTGAATAACATCTCACTGTTCATGAATGATCTCTTATTCCGATCACATGATCCAAGATGCATAAATTATTTATGGCTTTGCAGTCCAATATAAAACAGATTAAATAGGAGCATAAACAGCAATTGGTACACACCCATCCAGGAGGCAACTTTCCTCTCTCAACAGGTTGAGCTGAATACATCTCCAACTTCTGAAATTCAAAGTTTCCAAGTTAACTGTTAAGCAATAATAGAAGATAGCTTTAAATAAAAAAAAATAAAAAAAAATGTTACACCACATGAGAACCCAGGAGCAGTAAAAAGTTGCAAGAGTTAACAAGGGTGTTTCTGGAAAGAGGGACATCACACCAATGCATGGTCATGATAAGAGGTAAGCAAAGGTAGATTGAGCTTGTGTTAGGATTACAAGGTTCCATCAGGTGTTGATGCAACCACTAAACAAACATTAGCCATCCTAGATATTTGTAAGTCTGGGTATCTACACAAGAATAAGGATTTTAATGATGTGGTGATGATGATTTTTTAGTGTCCATAAGTGAGAATATGAGAAAGGCAAAAAAATGGATTCGTTTCCCACAGATTAAGTTGAAGGCCAAAGAGTTAATGGAATGTCAAATGAGATAGTAGTCATATCCAGCAATCTAATATTGGACAGTAAAGCAATTAGTGGTCAGAAATGAAAAGGGAAAAGATTAAGACAAGAGTCACAAAATATATATATGTATGTATGTATAAAAAAATAATATAATATTGCTTCTAAGTAGCTTATACAAGATGTGTAGCTGATGCAAACTAGTATAGGATTCAGACTTGGTCAAGTTGAGTTAAATCAGGTCCAAAGTCCTAAAATACATCGGTCTACAAGGACATGCAACTTCATCATAAGACCTGAATAAGCCACCACTGGGCTTCTGTTTTTCAAAAGCCAACTAAGACAGTTAAAAAGAAACAGAGATTGGAGACTAAGAAAATCGGTGACTAAATGAGACAGATACTTGCATTATTATTTACAGGATCGCCATTTTTTGAGTCATCTTTAAGAATACCCCTTGCTCTCAATCTCTGCTTAAGATACTCGGGCAATTCTTTAGTGACAGGCTTCTGCTCTGACTCTCTATCAAGTTCAGAATTTTTTGGAACCATCTCATCACTTCCAACTGCCAAACTTCCTGAAGCATCACAAGATGATGTCAAATACTAATCTTAATCCATTCCAAAGTCCAGAAAATTAGCAATTGATTACTGAAAGTCTTACTATTAGGCCTAGGAGCATTGTAATAAGCACCTCCACCTGGTACTCCATACCCATTTCCTATTTCTATGTTACCTGAAATGAGTAAAAGACATAAGCATACGTAATCATTTTCAGATCAATCAAGAAAGAATTTCAGCTGTCAATTAAGTTGTTGCCATCTTTTGGCATTTCATTTTGCGGACGGACAATCCACAGAGATTTTACCCAAGCAATGAAATCTATGGTTATACAAAATAGATCAATATCACTTTGAAGTGTTCCATTATGTGGCATACAGTTTTCATATCATCTTAAAATATTTTCTTGAGATAAACAGGGGCTTGTTTGGTAACAAACATTGACCGAAGTTCTATTCATATATATAGGCTACAATGGCCTCATACACATAGTCAAAAACCTTAATGCATATAATTTACCTGTGTTATACATTTTATAAGTGTATTTTTTTCCCTTTTCATAGGAAATGCATTTCATACAAGTTATGCAGACAGCTATAGCTGATAAAATAATATTTACCTCCTCCAGCAATCATGATAGGTTGGACAGTGTTATGCAATAAGATGAAAAAGAGAAAGAACAAAAAAATTTAAGACTATTGTATCTCCAGACCCTTTAGGCAAAGTAGACAGAACTCCGGTTCATCCTGTGACATTAAACCAAGGCAGCAAATCTTATTTCTAAAATTTCAGTGACATCAACAGACACTTTTCATGATTAAAGATCTAAAATCTTTAAAGCACGCTCATAGTGCACAAAACTTCTTTAAAAAAATTGATTATCCCCATTTTTTATTCAAGTTAGTATGGTAAGACAGAAAGTTCATAGGTCTAGTGTTCGCTGTTGAAAAGGTGGAACCCGACACTACGAGAACCAGAAGCCAAACACCAGACAAACAAGAGAAATCCATAGCAATAGCAAGAGAAATCCATAGCAATAGTTCACCTCTCAGCCGTGCTTTTGACACTAACAATACCAGTAATTCTATGTTGTACTACAGGCTGGTCATGGAAAAATATTATTCTCATTATTCTTGCCACTATATCTAGTATGATCCTTGAATCCAACATAAATATAATTCAAGAATCAATGGGTATATTAAATTTTTTGGGTTTAATCTAAGTTTCAACACTAGACAGAGAGCCCAATCATCCAACATTTTGCTTTCTGCCTAATGGCGGCAAATTTCGGAAACTACTCCCTTCATCCCTTGAATAACCAGCACACAATGAAAATTTCAAAATAACAGCTCTTAGTTCCATAATTTTGTCTTGTTCAAATAAAAGAATGGCTGACTGAGTTTCTTCCACTTGGGAATAACATATGAATAATAAGAATAAAATACATTACCCACCTTGTTCAGGAATCACAGGCTTCCCACGCTTTAATGCCGTTTCTGCACGATGTTCCGAGGTCATCTTCAGTAGATGCTCCTGTAGAAACACTAATAATAACTAGCAAACTCATCCAAAGTAATAAACAATACACAATGAGCCAACACAATTAAACCTCTCTAAAGTAACATTGCTGAGACCAAACACATATGTTATACACAAACCATAAGATACTAATAACAAGTATCCCATGTTGTAACAAATTGAATGTACATATTCAAGACCAAAGTGAAATGATTAATGATCAAAATTAGAGAAATTTATTACTTTTTCACAAATGGCGGGAGGTTGAAACTAAAATTTCATATTACCACAGACACGTTATTGTTTTAAATCGTAATTATTCATATAATTTTTACTGTATAAGAAAATACAACAAAACTGAAGCAGAGATGTAAAAGTTACATACTTTTAAAGCACTGGGGTCACATCGGTCCGCCAAAATGTCCGTACCATCCTTAGAAGCTACACCTACAACTCCTTCTTCCCTGAAACCACAAAATTAATTCAATTTAGAGGCAAGAATTCTTATTCTTTACAAGAAAATTGATATGAACCTGTGACTTTGAATGATTTTCTGGGTGGCAATTTCCTACAAGAAGAAAAAGAACAGATTAATTTAGAAATAAAAATATGAACAAAGAAGAAGAAGTAAGTATGTAAGCATATGAATGGTGTACTTGTTCACGAAGCACGGCTTCTCGAGCAGCAGCTTCAAAGTCAGTACTTGCAAAGTTGTAGATAGATGAATTTCCATAGGAATTTTGGTTTGGCGTCTCTTCTTCACCCATTGCAGCTCGTGAGTGGTGGTGATACCAGCTGGGATTTTTGAAAAATGTGGTTGATTCTGTTGCTCTGCAACACGATGAAGAAGAAGAAAGGAGAAGGTTTTAGAGTTGAGTTTCGGCCCAGAGTATGGACCCAACTTTATGACCATTTCATTATTTCTAGCCCAATAACTCTTTGGGCTATGGGCTAAATCTGGCCCAAAAAATCAATTGGATTAATTTTGATTGGTTATTGGGCCAGAACGCTAATTTAAGCCTCCATCCTTGGTATGTTTCGTGTATAAAAAGTCATAGTAAACAAGATAATTTCTTGATCATGAACACATTATTCTTCACACAAATCATGCATCTTCAATCAAAGAGACTTAATCATGAAAGAGTAATATTATGTCTGCAACCCAATCTCACAATCTTCTCTTACAACCCCAATTGATAGCTAAGTTAGCAACTGTCACGTCAGTTCCCATTAGAGGTGAAAATCGAGTCAAGTTGCTCGCGAGCTACTCGAACTCGACTCGATGTTGGCTCGAACGCGACTCAAAATTAGTTGAGTCGAGTTCGAGTTCGAGTTCGAGTCGAGTTTGACCACTATAGAACTCAACTCGATATGTTCGTAAGTATTTCTAAGCTCAATGGTTAAGTTAATAGTTTTTAAAGTAATTAATAAAGTTATAAAATTTGCTAATCCACCCCAATTAGATGAGCTCGAAATCGAGTTCGAACTCAAACCTCAAACTCGATTATACGAACTCGAATTCGAACTCGATTTCCAATTTTAAGTACCAAGTTCAAGTTTGAACTTGATTTCTTCAGCTCGAACTCGGTACTGTAACGATCGAATCGAGTTTGGTTTACCAGATGCTCGACTCGACTTAATTACACCCCTAGTTCTCACTACACTCAAAGCACTAAATGACTTTGACTAAATATGAACGATCGTTCATTCATAAGGAATGATTGTTCATTCGTAATGGTTGTTGCGTACGAAGGAACAATCATTCCTTATTAATTGAACAGTCATTTGTCCTTAAGGAACGATAAAAAATAAAAACATTAGAAACATAAAAGAAGGGATTTTAGATATTGAGTGTGATTGCGTGTGTATAGATATATATATAACCCCAGATATTGAGAAATGTATTAAAACAAACAAATGTCATTACCTCTCAAGTCAAAGCTAAAATGAATTATATCGCTAATGTCATTCCAATCGTATACATTTTTCAACCGATATATTATGACAACAATCTAATATTAAGAAATGTCGTATTTAAACTTGTTTTGCAAGCCCAAGTTTGAAAATAGAGACCCGTCAAACCTTATAAATTTTTGGAAAACGAGATGCAATCTTTTAGAAATTGGAAACAACGACCATGCCTATATTAGTTAGTTGATGTGAATGTGTGTCTTGTTAATGTGAAACCGATAATTTCTTTATCATTTCTGAGTTTAAAGAAATGATCGGTTTCACATTGCTTTAATTAAGAATAAAGAGGTGCATGTTTGGTTTAATATTTTTATCCCTATTCTGGATCCTATTCTCCAAATAGCGTTTGGTACAATATTCTAAAAATATTACCCTATTTTTTTAATTACATTTTAACCCCATAAGGTTATTAATTTCACTAAATACCCCCTGAAAAAAAAGTTTAAAAATTAACAAAAACACCCCCATCAACCCAACTTGTCAGATTCTGGCAACCACCGTCGGTGATAGCCGGAATCTGTACAACGGCTTAACTTCCGACCAGAAATGGCCAGAAGTTCACCGCTGTGGCCTTTTCCGGCCAGATCCGTGGGCCGTCAGCGACGGCCAAATCTTGGCCGTCGTTGATCGAAAACGACGGCCACATCTTTGGCCGTCGCTGACGGCCAAAGATGGCCCTCGTTTGGCCTTTTCCGGCCGTCGACGGCCATAACGGACCGTAGATCTGGCCTTTTCCGGCCAGATCCACCATGGATCTGGCCGGAAAAGGCCATAACGACGTTTTACGGCACAGATCCGACAAGTCTGTGCCGTAACGAAATTTTCCGGCCAGATTCCGGCGGTGGTGGCCGGAATCTGACACTGCAGGTGGTGGGGGTGTTTTTGTCATTTTATATGTTAGGGTCTTTAGTTAAATTAGTAAACCTAAGGGCTTTTTTACAAATTTTTAAAATTTACCTCGTAATACTCCCATATCCAATAACCCAATACTATCCCTAAAATCCTATCCAAAATACTAAACCAAACGCACCCGAGGATATTTCACTTTGTTTTTATCCACAGAAATCTCTACTATTTTGCTCAAACTTTTACTTCCGTACCCAGTTCTATCGTATCCTCTATTTCACTTTTACATCTTCCTTGAAATTTGTAACCCAATCAAGGGTAAAAAGATAAAAGATTTCTGCTTTTCTCATTAATTCAAGATTAACCCACATTTAAAACATGCTTTTAAGACAAATTAATCTTAATTAAAAACCCACAATTTAGAATTTAATAAAAAGGGGGTTTTGTTTACAATAATATTACACCACTAGCCCTCTCTCATAACCATAACGTAATAGCTCTTAATTGATCAATTCATAATTAATTAGTGAGACTCAACTTGTAATTGGTTAGTTCACAACAGATCTCGCATGAGTCTCACTAATTAATTGCGAACTAATCAATTAGAAGCTGTCATGTCAAGGTTATAAAAGAAAGTTTGTGAGAAATGATTGTTAGTGTAGTATTATTCTTTGGTTTATCATTTTCTTGAGCTAAACGCATAGAATAATGTATCATCCTCGATTATCATGTTGTGCATAATAATACACGCAGTCATTATATCATGTAATATATTTTTATCTCAAAAACGTGTCGGTCCTGCCACAATTGCAAACCACGATTGGAGAACTCCAAACGCACGTTCTACATCTTTCTTGTTTCATTGCAAATAATTTTTTTTTTTACCACGTGGATCGTGAATAGTTTGTACGAGAGTAGATCACTTTGGGTAATACCATCAGCTAAATAATAACCCATATTATAATCTTTTGCTTGAATGATATAATGAGCGGGAGGAGCAATACCTTGAGTTAAGTTGGTAAACAAGTGATATGCCTCCAACACATTAATGTCTTTAAAGCTATTGGGAAATTGAGGGGATGTGTACGTCAAATTGAAAATATGAATTCAAGTAGTGCTTCTGAGCAAGATATTGTAAGTATTTGTTACATTTAATTAATTAATTTTTATCTAATTGATTTGAACGTTATATGTATATTGTTTTATAGATGATTCAAGCTAAAATGTTACTAGCACAAGATAAAAGTTACAAGAAAGGTTTCAGATTTGATTATGTGTGGCCTATACTAAAGGATATTGAAAAATTTACAGATAATGTTAACGATGCAGAAGTATTTCAAAGGCAAACCGGTAGGTTTGTATCACAAGAATCAGAGACTCCCACTTCAAAGTCTCCCCAATCGGTGTTTTGTGACATGTCGTCATATTCTCTAAACATAAATGATGAAAATATTAGGGGTAGTTCAGCTGAACGACCCATTGGGATGAAGAAAGCAAAATTAAAAAGGAAAAATGATGAAGAAGTTTCAAACAATATTGAAATTATTCAAGAAGAAAATCGACAGCTCGCTGCTATTTTCAATCGGGGCAACTCAGTTAGGACACAAAATTATGAAATCCAAATGAAAAAATTGGCTTTGGTAGAATATCAAAAAGATAACAAAATTTTATTTGAGGATTTGAATTTCATAATCGATCAAAGCCTACGTGAGTTTTTTCAAAGTGAGCAATCAAAAATTATGCAAAAAAGAGCTCAACAACAAGGTCAAGGATCTCAAAATAACTCTAGTTCTTTCCAATATTTTGATGATCTTACAGGATCCGAAACTAATCTATCTGAATACTAAATTGTTATTTTAGTTTATGTTGTATTTTTTTTTTTTTAATTTTAGTGTTTTTAAATTAGCGTTAATTTTTATTTTGAGCAATCAAGAATTATGCAAAAAAGAGCTCAACAACAAAGTCAAGAATCTCAAAATAACTCTATTTCTTTCCAATATTTTGATGATCTTACAGGATTTGAAACTAATCTATCAGAATATTAAATTGTTATTTTAGTTTATGTTGTATTTTTTTTTTAATTTTAGTGTTTTTAAATTAGTATTAATTTTTATTTTCAGTTATTATAGTTTAATATTTGCATTGAATAAAGTTTTGTTTTTAATTTTTCATCATTTTTTAAATTATATCATTATTATAAATTTATTATTATAAATAATAATCAAATTAACTTAAATACAAATAAAATAAAATAAAAATTATTGTATAAACAGTAACACGTTAATTTGGGGTGGATGAACAGTATTATAGCAAAGTGGTGCACCAAATGACGCTGAATTGGAGCAGCAGTTTCACTCACACCAAAATAGTTGGTGCAACAAATGGCGCTGAATTGGAGTAGCAGTTTCACTCATACCCAAATAGCGGGGGTTGGAGATGCCCTTAGTTAGTTGATGTGAATGTGTGTGCCTTGTTAAAGGTATTGTCTGAGTTTAAAGAAATGATCAGTTTCACATTGCTTTAATTAAGAATAAAGAGGATATTTCACTTTGTTTTTATCCACAGAAATCTCTACTATTTTGCTCAAACTTTTACTTCCGTACCCAGTTCTATCATATCCTCTATTTCACTTTTACATCTTCCTTGAAATTTGTAACCCAATCAGGGGTAAAAAGATAAAGATTTCTGCTTTTCTCATTAATTCAAGATTAACCCACATTTAAAACATGCTTTAAGACAAATTAATCTTAATTAAAAACCCACAACCTAGGATTTAATAAAAATGAGGTTTTGCTTATAATAATATTACACCAATAACCATCTCTCATAATCCTAACATAGTAATTCGTAATTGATCAGTTCGTAATTAATTAGTGAAACTTAGTTTGTAATTGATCAGTTCACAACTGATCGTGTATGAGTCCTACTAATTAATTACGAACTAATCAATTAAGAACTATCATATCAAGGTTGTGAGAGAAAATTTATGAGAAATAGTTGTTGATGTAGTATTACTCTTTAGTT